TGGCTTAGTAACTCACCCACCACCCTCCATCTCCAACCCCCACCCCAGTTTCTGCTGCTAGTTTACTCATTTAATCTCTTTTATATTTCAAGATCGGCCCTACACTGGCTTACCTCATCAACATAACCAAGACAATTAATTCACAAGTGCGATAATAATCAAGGGCATAGAGATTAGTATTTCCAACCCAAAACCCTATGCACCACAAGAGTCTGAACCCGTGGTGCAGGAGGTCGCCAGGAGTCCAGGGTAGCCACCAAGAACCAAGTGCTGAGCAGGGGAGAGTTTGCAGTGGGGATCTAAAATGATGTATCTCCTTCAGGGTAGCCACCACAACTGAGTTGTGCTTCCAGAAAGGTCCATGAAGGATGGTTTTCCCGTGACTCAGGCACCTACACAACCTATGTTCCTCCTTCCCCACTTGAAATTCTAGAAGAAAGCTTTCTGGTCCAAAGTTTCTCCTTTGAACGAGCTGGCTAGCAAGTTTCCCAATTCTCTCCATTCCATGGTTTCCAAGGCCAAATTCCCTCCATGTCTGATCAGCCTCATGTCCTGCTCTGCCTCATCCCCACAACTCGTTTCCATTCCTCCGGTGTGCAAAGCCAACACTGTGTACACCACACAACTAACAAATAACAAGCAGGCCCGGGAAAACCCCAGCCCCAGGGTTTGTAATGTACCTGTGTGGGTGCACAACCTGAATTCCCAGGAGACACTGGGTGAACAGATGCACACAGGCAGGCTTGCTAGCCTATAATTCTTACTACAAGGCCTCTTCATGAGGAAAGGGTCGGAAGCCCCTGGAAGGGCATGTCCTCTGCGGAGGGAATTTAGGAGGGTTTGAGGGTGCAGGGAAGGGAGGGCATCAGCATGAGCTCAGTCTTCACAGGCCCAGAGGGGCCTTGGGTGTGAAATGAGAGCAGGCAGGAAATAGGATCCTGATCTGAGGAGGAAGTTGTAAAATACACACTTGTTGCTATGAACAGGGCTCTTGTCTGCTGCTGGCATTCCTTTGGGCAGATTTGTGGGAAAGCGCTTGGGCTCCCAATCAAGGTGTCTGGCTTTGAATCCTAGCCCCAGGACTTACTTGGGCAACTTATACATTTCTAACTCCAATAGTTGAGAGGATAAGTAGACACCACCTATTAGGTTGAGCCACATGAAATTGGACCCAGATCAGCATGTGAAAGTGGCCACTTACTGTGGTCCAATCAAATACACAAGGCTTAGATTCGTACAGTGGTTCCCACACTGGTTTGCATCATGGAATTACAGTGAACCCTCGCCACTTCGCGCTTCGACTTCCGCGGCTTCACTCTATCGCGGTTTTTGCGTAACAGCGCATGCACTGTCATTACTGCCACTGATTGGCTCATACTGTACACGCTTCTGTCTGCATCGCTACGGAGCTACGTATCAGATGCATTTTTGCTTTTGTACAGTGTACTGTAATTGTTTGCGATTTTAAAGAAATTTTATCTAAACCCTATGATGGCTCCTAAACGAGCTGCTTCTTCTAAGCCTTCTGACAATAAAAATAAGCGCCAGAGGAAGATGCTCACCATCCAGGAAAAGGTAAAACTTTTGGATATGACCAAAGATGGCAAGAAAATCATGGTGGTTGCATGCCATTTCGACTTGAATGAGTCTTCCGTTCGCTCCATCCGTAAAGAGGAAAAAAACATCCGTGCTACGGCTACTTTCACTTTCAACAAGGAAGCAAAGCAAAGTGACAAGTCGTAATAAATTCATAGTAAAAACGGAGTCTGTCCTAGCCGTTTGGATCATTGTAACGTCCAAAATGTTTTACTGTATTTTCCCTTTTTCGTTTAATAAATTGGGTAATACGAGTGTAATGGTGACTAAAGGGTGTTTTTTCATGTCCTTTATGCTCTAACTATGAAAATATTTGATTTACAAATAAGGAATCCTACTTTGCGGAATTTCATTTATCACGGTAGGGTCTAGAACCCATTAACCGCGATAAATGAGGGTTCACTGTACCTCCAAATTAAAAAGAAAAAAGTCTAAAGCCCAGGTCACCACACAGATCAACTAAATCACAATTTCTGCAAGGGGATCATCCCCCTAGGCAATTCTAAGGTACAGACACCTTTGGGGACCACCGACTTAGCCCAGGACCTGGGATACCCAGAAGCATTCCAGTAACGTTAGCTGCCTCTATTTTGCAATCACCTAATGAAGGCGCTCTGGTGGCATAGTGCATTACATGCTGGTCTTATGTCCACAAGGTTGGCAGTTCAAACCTGCCAGCCACTCTTTAGGAGAGAAACAAAACAAAACAAAACACGAAGCTGTCTGCTCCATTAAAAAAATGATTTTGAGAATGATGATGGCAGCAAATGTACAAATGTGCTTGGTACAATGGATGGATGGATGGATGGATGGATGGATGGATTGTGATGAGTTGTACGAGCCCCCAATAAAATGATTTTTTAAAAATTAAGTCTTGGAAACCCAAAGGGGCAGTTATAGCCAGTCCTGCAGAATCACAATGACTCAGACTTGCCTGCTGGCAGTGGGTAGGGGTTTGGTTTTTGCAGTCTTGTTATTGATACCGCTCTATTGCATATGGAACTGTGGACCAGGCCTGCCTCTGGGGTCCGGGGAGGCCGCCCACAATGCTCACCGCTTCTTCTCCTCTGCAGTGTCGCGACCCCGGAGCTCCCCGGACGACCTGAAGGCCCTGACTCGGAACGTGAACCGGCTGAACGAGAGCTTCCGGGACTTGCAGCTGCGGCTGCTGCAGGCCCCGCTGCAGGCGGACCTGGCGGAGCAGGTGTGGAAGGCGCAGGACGCGCTGCAGAACCACTCGGACTCGTTGCTGGCGCTGGCGGCCGTGGTGCAGCGGCTCGAGGGCGTGCTCTGGGGGCTGCACGCGCAGGCGGCGCAGACGGAGCAGGCGGTGGCCCTGCTGCGCGACCGCATGGGCCAGCAGGGCGACGCGGCCCAGCTGGAGCTCTACCAGCTGCAGGTGGAGAGCAACGCCAGCCAGCTGCTGCTGCGCCACCACGGGGGCCTGCTCGACGGGCTGGCTCGCAGGCTGGGCCTCCTGGGCGAGGAGCTGGCCGACGTGGGCGGCACGCTGCGGGGACTCAACCAGAGCCTGTCCTACGACGTGGCCCTCCATCACACGCGGCTGCAGGACCTGCAGGTGCTGGTGAGCAACGCCAGCGAGGACACGCGCCGCATGCGACTGGTGCACTTGCACATGGAGCTGCAGCTCAAGCAGGAGCTGGCCATGCTCAACGCCGTCACGGAGGACCTGCGCCTCAAGGACTGGGAGCACTCCATTGCCCTGAGGAACATCTCCCTCATCAAAGGTAACGCCTGGCCCACCACACCCTAGACTTAGACCTCTCTGCAAGAGGCAGGCCTGCTCCTGTCCCCTCGTGATCGGGACTTCCTGCAGACGCCCCTCTCCAGAGACTCCCCGGGGGTCACAATGGCAAGTGGAGCCGCCATTTGGAGCCCATCTTTTAAGGCTTGCTTTACGTTGTCTGCTCAGATGGTCCTGTGCCCATGTCCAGGGTCTGTTTCCTGGTCAAGCATCCCTAGGGAAATAGCCACGCTCAGTGCTCCCCTTCCTAAGCCTGAGAAGAGGCCAAGGGAGGTTATTGGGGGCAGGATCGCCAGAGCTTGGATTGTTGTTATTGTTGTCAGGTGCCACCAAGTTGGTTCTGACCCATAGCGACCTTATGCACAACAGAGTGAAACACTGTCTGGTCCCGCGCCGTCCTCACAATTGTCCCTCCGCTGGAGCCCATGTTGCAGCCAGGTGTCAGTCGTCTCCTAGAGGGAGTTATAGCCAGTCCTGGCCCTCTACCAGCATGCTGTCCTTCTCCAGGTCTGGTCTCTCGACAGCATGTCCAAAGCATGAAAGATGAAGTCTCCCCTCCTTGCCTCTAAGGAGCACTCTGGCCTTACTCCTTCCAAGTCAGATTTGTTTGCCCTTCTAGCAGTCCGGGGTACTTTCAAAATTCTTTGGCAGCACCACAATTCAAGAACATTGATGCTTCTTCGGTCTTCCTTATTCAATGTCCAACTTTCACATGCATGTGAGGATTAGCTCTCTCTAAATGTTAGAGACAGCTAATCCTCACATCCTGTTAAAAAGATACTATTGGCCCCATTTTATGAGTAGCCCTCATGGTATAGTGGTTACTTTGTGGGCTGCTAACCATAAGGTCAGCAGTTTGAAACCAGCAGCCACTCCACGGGAGAAAGATGGGGCTTTGTATCCAGTAAACAGCTACAATCTCAGAAACTCCCTTCTCCTCTGGCCTATAGGGTTGCCATGAGTCATCATTGACTCAATGGCAGTGAGTTTAGGTTTCTCCCCATTTTATAGATGAGGAACCTGAAGCAGAAGAGGTTAAGTAAGTAACATCCCACTGTTCTGTTGATAAGTAGCAGAGTCAAGATCCAAAAGCTGACCTGCCTGCCTGAGAAATCCAGGATCTTGTCACTGTGCTATCTATCCTGTTTCCCAAGGTGGGGTGCAATTGATGTAGATGTAAGAGAGCACAGTTTTGGGGAGTCCATTCTTATAGTGGAAGCCCATCCTTCCCTTTCTGTCTTCCTCCAATCTACAGAGGTCTCTAGACCACACTTTTTCTACTTTTTTTCTTTTTAATGGTGGTTTGGGTGAGCATTTGCAGAGCAAATGAGTTTTCCATGCTACAATGGAAAAGTATGTTTCATTGATTACAAGCCCCACGGTGCAGTCGCCCTCACCGCACTGCACGCCATGCTTTCCGTTTCCCTTTCTCCTGCTTTCCTGCTCCTGAGCTTTAGCTCTCGGCGCATGCTGCCCCGTTGGGCTTATTGATGGATGGAAGAAGTATGGCCTCGGTGGTGTTACTGCTCACCTTATAGACCTTTTGGGGGCTAGGCTGAAAGTTGAGTCATGCGGGTGAGTTTAGTTTTTAGGCTTCATGGGGTGACTAAGGGCCATAACTTGGGGGATCCCTCCAGTTTCTGTCAAACCAGTACATCTGGTGTCTTATGGTTTTGAGTTTGGGTCCATATTTTTCCCTAACCCAACCCTTCTGTTGTGATTCCTTTTAGAGTTCAGTAGTGGTAGCTGGGCACCAACTAGGTCTCTTGGCCTCATGGTAGTGGAGACTGGGGTTTATGGGCTCCATTAGTCCTTTGGACAAATCTTTCCATGTGCCTTTGCTTTTATTCACACTTTTTTGTTTCAATGAGGAGAAATGAATAGTTGGATTTTAGACAGCTGCTCACAAGCTTTTAAAACCCCAGTTGCTATTCACCAAAGTAAGATGTCGAACGTCGTCTTGGTGGACTATGTTACATCAATTGGCCTTGATGTCCCCAGGGACTACAGTCTAGACCTGACTTTTGAGCTTCTGAGCATTGCCATGCTACAGTATCTTCCTGGGCCCCAGCCACCTTTTTACACAAACCTTTAAAACATTTCTAAATCCACTTCTTATGGCTCAAACAGACAGTGCTCTGAGTCACTCATTTGCCAGGGTTCTTCAGGTGCAATCACCCAAGTACTTGTTGTTTGGTTCGTAGTTTCACGTACTTCAGTTTCATCTCTGTCCTGCCTATATCTGTCTTTCCAGTCTTTAAGTTTGGATTTCATGATGGGCTTGTGGCTTTTTACAGTTGAGTACCACTCAGCCCTGGTAGTTCTCTGGGGCACCACTACTACTTATATCCGTTTTTCCCACCTTCCTCTTTCATGAATGGTGTCATTGCGGCCTCTTGTACAACACAATGGACCACTGCCCCAGCCGGCACCACCCTCACAATCATTGCTGTATTTGGGCCCATTGTTGCAATCGCTGTGCCAGTCCATCTTGTTGGAAGTATTTTTATTTCTCGTTGACCTTCTACTTTCGTGAGAATGATGTCCTTCCCCAGGGACTGGATCTTCTGGATGACACATCCAGAGTAGATGAGGCAAAGTCTTGCTGTCTTTGCTTCAAGCTATACTTCTTCCAACACACATTTGCTCATTCTTCTAGTAGTCCATGGTATATTTCATATTGACCAATGCCTCAGTTCAAAGGGACTAGTGCTTCTCCACTTTTCCTTACTCATTGCCCAGCTCTCACATGAATATGAGGCAATTAAAAATACTATGGCTTGGGTTGGGCACAAGTACCCTGGTAGTGTAGTGGTGTTAGGCTGCTAACTGCAAAGTCCACAGTCCGGATTTTCTACTCCCGTAAAGAGTTTTTATTTATTTATTTATCAATTTACTCCCGTAAAGAGTTACAGTCTCAGAAACTCACAGGGCAGTTCTGCCCTGTCCTATAGGGTAGCTATGAGTTGACATTGACTCAATGGCAATGAATTTGGTTTATTTGGAGGGGGAGGATTGGGCACACTGTAGTGACATCTATGCTTTAACATAACTGACTGTAATTACCTTTCAAATTTTGGAGAAGGACAGGGTGCTGTACCAGACAAGTGTCTGAAGCAGCCTTTCTGCCTCATCTTTGTCCAATTTTTTTCATACGGTCCTTACACACACACACACATAATTCTTGACATTTCCTGGCTCAACATCTACAAATACCCAACTGAGTATGTTTTTCAACTGTGGGCGTATGTATATTATTCTTGAATGGGATCCTAGCATGGCGCTCTCGCTCTCGTTTTGTGACACACTTATTTTCTGTGGGTTTTGTCTCCAGTTTGTCCTCTGCACAGTTCAACAGGGTTTTCTGCTTTGGGTTTTCCATTTCGTCAGACCTGTTGAAAACTCTGTGGCTTCATTATTCTTGTTTGTATTCTTTATGGTCTTTGAGGTGCATCTTTGCAGAGCAAGTTAGTGTGCCATTCAATACTCTGTACATAAAGTGTTCCGCGATATTGGTTGCGTGCCCCCCAATTGTCAGCACTCCTCCCATTTCTACCCTGGGTGCCCTGTTTCCTTTCATCGGAATTTCTCCCCCTTCCTGCTTTCTCAGTTTTGCTTTGGGGAAAGTGGTGTCCTTTTGATCTTGTATAATTGGTTATTCTAAGGAACATGTAACACTCAGGTTTTATTGTTTATTTTATGGGCTGCCTGTTGTTTAGCTGAAAGGGAATGGCTTCATTCCAAGTCAGAAAGGTATGTTGTCAGGCCCAGAGTAGTAGGGTTGCCTCCGTGCTAAGTATGTAAGTCTGATATTTTTGAGGATTTGAATTCTTTGTTCCGTATTTTGTTTGTTTGCTTTTTCTGAGACCCTGTGTTGTGATCCCAGTTCCAGCGGTGAGCAGAGGAGCTGGGCACCAGCAAGTGCTTCGTGTCTCAAGGTCGAGTTCATGGGCTCATAGGCTCACAAGTTTCATAGGTTAATTTCTGTCTTTTGGAGTCGTTACTCCCCCAAGTCTTGCTTTTCTTCACTTTCCTTTGCCCTGGACAGGAAGAAACCAGGACTCTTATCTTAGATGGCTCCTCAGACGCTTCCACGACCCTCGAGCACAGCTTCTCAAGCTTAGTTAGTCTATCCAACCCCATTAGCAGAAAAAAATGTATTCAGCGTCACCAGTACACCTCCACCTCTATAGTCAGAGTGTTTGTACTCTAGGCCACAGGAGCCCTTGTGGCTTGGTGGGTAACAAGCTGGGCTGCTCACTGCAAGGTCAGCAGTGTGAAACCAGCTGCTCCACGGGAGAAAGAGGAGGCTTTCTACTCCTGTGAAGAAGTCTCAGAAACCCACGGGACCTGGTCTACCCTGCCCACACGGTGGCTATGCGTTAGAATGGGCGCATGGCTACGGGTTGTTGGTTTTGTGTAAATACGCTTCATTACGTAGAGGAACTTCCCTTCCACTGCTGCTTTGTTGAGTTTTTCATCAGGAATGAATGTCGAACTTTATCAAATGCCTTTTGTGCATCAACTGAGATGATCATGTGATCCTTTTGTTTTATTTATACGTCGGATTGTATTGATTGGGTTTCCAGTGTTGAGCTTTTCCTGTCGTACCTGGTGTGCATTGCATTTGGTCATGGTTCTTTTCTTATGTTGTCAAATTCTATTGGCTAGAATTTTGGTGAATATTTTTTGGCATCGATTGTTTATGAGTGATGGTGTTCTGTAATTTTTCTTTTGATGGTGTCTTTGCCTGTCTTGAGGAGCCGTAGTGGCATAGTGGGTTAGAGGTTGGGCTGTTAAATGCAAGGTCAGCAGTTAAAACCACCAGTCACTCTGAAGGAGAACGATGAGGCTTTCTACTCCTGTGAAGCTGTACCGTCTTGGAAACCCATGGGGGCGGTTCTACTCGGCCCCTTAGGGTTGCTGTGCATCTGAATGGACTCAGGGACGGTGAGCTTGTCTGTCTGTCTGTGGTTCCTGGCT